GTGCCCAATTTCTGCGTCGTAATTTAACTGTTGAATGGCAGAAGAAAGGGACTTCAACGCGACAATATCTAGTTACTACCGATGACAGCCACGCTCTTGATGTTAGGTGGTTGCCAAGATATTTTTAATTTGCATGACTACTGCCTCGGCAGAACCTTCGCACCGTAGGTAGAATGGAAAAGGTACGTGCAGCATAGTTAGGAGCAGATGTTTGTCATTTCCAGTTTAGCTGCAGCAGCCTTGTTTGGTATGCGAGGAGAGTTGAATTGGTCGAAGACCGGCAATCATGCAAATGCCTGGCAGGCTCAGTGTACCGAATGTGCTGTGCAGTTTCAATTTTCTAGAAATGATTGCCCCTTATAGAAGATGCGTGATGGGACAAGCGAAGTAATCGCAATTGTTGAGTGGCAGATTTCAGATAGGTTCGAGATCCAGAAGGATATGAGACAGTGTGTTGTACTTTTTCCTATGCTCTTTAGTGTATGGAGGTCATATTCTAATAAATAGCTCTGAACGGTGGCACAGTGATAGTCCTATGCTGAAACGGCGGGATACTGTAGCTGCGCGGCGCAGTTCATTACTCGCTACAGACCTGACTATGTTGATAACACTTTTTTATTGGGCGACAGTCACGAAGGCCTTTACTCCCTAAGTGAAGCGTTTTGCAGGACTGTAGCTAAGTGGGTCTTCGGTAGGAAGTTCCAAGAAATGTATGGAAATGTGACAAGTGCCCCGGAAAGCTTTTGAAAAGAATTACGTGTTTTTCCAAAATTTGTGTTGTTATGAACAAGAGCAGCAAAACTAACATCTGTGACACCGGTAAACAATAAATATTGTTCTTGCGTTGGAGTGTACCAAATAGTGCATGACTTGTCTGCGGAGCCGTGGCCTATTTAATTTGTCTCATCAAGCAAGAAGCAGTGCAATACTCCGTGAAATTAGGTCTTCGATGAGGCTTTCGTTGCTACATTTGTATGAGATACTGTTTCAGACAGTTGCGGGTTACAGATATCTTCTTCCCTGCTGTTCATACTTTGCTAGCATTAGATGATGATGGTAGCATAAGCAGAACGTATAACACGATTCAGTGTATGCATAATTAATATTTTTTGATTCGTGCTTTTCCAGCGACGAACAAACGCCTTCTACGTCTATGCAGACAAAAACGGAAAGCCGTGCTTATTCTGATGTGCAGCATGGAAATCGGAACGAAAGGCCTGAGCTCGTTGAGGATAAGCCGGTCGGTCCTACTCACTACCAACACGTACTCAGAAATGGTAGATGGTCATTTGATCAATTCTTCATTCCCTACGACTATACCATGTTGCATCGTATTTTCAGAAGCGTGGGATCACGGCGTTGCCTATTTCCAGTTCTCAACCGACGAAACCGTCAGACAAGAGCAGATGAAGAAACTTCAGATGCTCAGGCATCAAGTACTGATTCTTCCGCCTTTTTCTTTATGAATTTAAATGTTTAAATTTTCTGCTTGCTTTAGACGGAAGAACTGAGGTTGAAAACAGAGCAAATTAAGCAGCGGCGGAAGCAAGCCATGGAAAAGCGTTTGCAGAAAGTGATCGAAAGAAAGAATTTGAATGTACCTGCAGGTAGGTGAATTAGCATATTGTTGCTCAAAACGGGGCCATTTTCATGTAAGCGGAAGCTACTCTTATTCGGTTTTAGTGTGACTTCTCGCTTAGCTTCTACACTGTATCAGAAAGGGTAAACGCGACCCTTTTCTAAGAATCTTCGTCGTAAAGAACCACCTAGTGAAAGTGACTGCATGCCGCTGTATTATCTGTTGACTAAGGATCTTCTGACTTCTTCGTAAATCAAAAAGACTTGCCTTGATGTTTACGATGTTCAGTTAGTGGTAACCGTTGACTCTTTAACCGTTAGGCTATGCAAATATGTTATGACTGAAAACTCAGAAGGGAGCCTAAATGTCTCAACTTGCAGTAATCTTTAAGGAAAACAGTAAAGGTATTTTGTTGTCGTAAACTATATGAATATGGAATGGACTTTATGAGGATTTCACTATGACGTTCGTGCGGCACTGTATTGTACATTATCTGTAAAGCTTTACTAGTAAAGTAAATGCGTAAAATATTGCGTATGGATATAATGTATGACCCAACGAAATGGTGTGATTTGGCGTCTGTTTACTGTAGGCGCTGAATTACCATGGAGCCTTGGCGTACTTCAACAATCCCATAGGCTTCTAGAAGCAAAGAATCAGCGTTGCACATACGCTATGAAAATCGGCAGAAGTGACAGGGGGATTGATACTCTTGCGGGTGGTGTAAAACTGGCAGTTTACTAATAAACGCAAAATTCCTTGGATAATATTTATAATACATCATGTCGTCTGCATTTCGACAGTTTTTACAGAGCTATTTGTTTTTTTAACTTTGATAAAGCATTCGAGCTGGGGTCATAAGATTTTGAATTCATTCGGTTTACGAGAATCTTGTGAAATTCTTGATTGTCATCGTCTTAAATATTATCACGAGATAAATAAAATAAGATAAAAATAGGCCTGCATTTAAAAAGGCTGTTGCACATATTTGACGAGCAGTTGTTCTGGTAGACACCATTGTTCCGTTCGGACTTAATTCTTCGGTTCAAAAATTTCTTGCAGATATGCTTAGTAATGGTTTGAACGAAGAA